GGGGGGGGGGGGGAGAGAGGAAAAAGCAAGGGATAGAGAAGAGAAAGGGTTTAGAGAGAGAGAATTATGAATCTCGCCAATGAACTCTAACTCCTGACCCCTGGGCCAAGGGTCAGTGGGGTCAGCCCACCCCAGGACAGCCCAGCAGTCAGGCCTGTCCATGTATACACATCTACTGTGGCACTTAGAGCGCCCCCACCCTGCTGCTGCTGGAGCTGGGGGAGAGGTGCCTAGGCCCCACACAGGGCAGCAGGCAGGCCTGGTCTTCCTGGGGCTGGGGCAGCACAGGGCACACGGGCTGGGCCTGTTACCTGGCACTCGCAGGTCTCAATCCCTAACTACGGAGGCAGCATGGGGAGCAGGGCAGAAAGGAGAACATGGTCAGTGTGGGGTGGGCTGGCAGATGGACAGACAGACAGGCTGGGAGGGGGTGGGAGGAGTGCAGTGGGGGCAGGTAGACTAGGTACACGTCCCTCCCACCCAGGCTGGGGCTCAGGAAACCAGCTCAGATCAGCTCTTTCACACTCCTGCTGACAAGGTGCGAGCCAGCAACTGTTAGCGGCTACAAGCCAGTGGGTGGCCAGACAGCAGCTCCACGCCATTTAGTCAACACAGGGCCCCGGGAGCACATGTATGCTCCCAGCACTGTGTTCTGAGGCCCTGACTCCGGGTTGTGAGCACCTTCCACCCTGGTCTCTGAGGGACCTCCTCTGTGGCACCTCTACAGTCCAATAGCAGACTTCCCCAGAGGGATTACACTGACAAGACAATCCCTGCATCTGGCCCTGGAGGGCAGCAGGACTGGGAGCTGGAACCTTCCCAGACCTGGGAAGGACATCAGGGCAACCGGTCAGGTCAGCCAGCAAGTAAGCCCTCGTTGAGCCCTGGCTGGACAGTACCGAGTCCCTCCACAAGTAGCTCCCAGCTCTCAGAAGGGCCATGGTGACTCAAACTCCCCTGGTCACCATCCCTTCAAAGTGCTGGGCCTCTTGGACAGAGGGGAGGGGTCTGAGGCAGACAGGCCACAGGTTAAGCCAACGGAGCAAACACAGCAGGGCCACAAGACAGCAGGCGTGGATGGCTCAGGCATGCCGGGTGTGCAGAACACGGGATGCGGAGGAATGGCAGGCCTTACCCGTGGAGAACATGGGGGAATTACTCCTCATCTCCTCCAACTTTTGAACGAACAAGGCGTTCATCTCTCCCTGTAGCGCCCCCTGCTGCCTGTGGGCACCCTCTGGCTGGCAGGGGGCCACCTTGGGGCTGCCTGGGCTGTCTGGGCTGCTGGAGTCCGAGGACACGGAGCCACCACCTGGACCCTGCCGCCGAGCCCTAGGGCCCTTGGGGGCCTCTCTGCTTCTCCCTGGGGTCGCTCGAGGGCTCAGTCTGAAGCAAGGGCCCCCCAGCGAATCCACCCGAGCCTGGGGCTGATGGCTGATGGCTGTGTACCTGCCCACAGGCCCTGGGCTGGGTGGCTGCTCCCTCGGCAGGCCCTCAACGTCCATACCGGTGCAGGAGGCCACCACGCACTTCATGCATGTGGCGGCCATCCCTGCAGGTCCAGGGCCTTCAGGGACATGCGGGGAGCGCACCTGTGCAGGGCTCCTCTCTTCCGTGGCTGCTGCTGGTGTCTTACCTCGGGGACTGCTGCCGCCTGACCTCTCGTGGGTAGGGGCCTCCAGAGCTGGGTTGGGGCTAGAGGGTACTATGTCATCAGCTGCCCCCTCGGAGCCTGCGTCCTGAGTGCCCAGGGCCAGCTCGGGGAAGCCCTTGCGTCTTGGCTTCTGGCTCTTGGTTGGGGCACTGGCTGTGCGCCGCAGGAGCCTCTGGCTAACGGAAGGCCGGGGCAGGGGCTGCCCAGCAGCATGACTGTCCAGAGAGCCTGGCTTTGGGCCGCGGAGGAACAGGCCTTTTAGACCCAGAGTCTGTTTGACCTGTAAGAAAAACAGCCCACATAGCTGGTGCCTGGACCACCTGGCCCAGCTGTGGCTGCAACCTAAGGCTTGCTCTCCAGAGGGTGAGCCTGTGGGTGCCACAGACTGACAGGAGGTATAGTGGATTGCTATACACAAGGGGCAGGGTCTCCTGGCAGCTCTACCAGGGATAGCAGGGCTTTAGCCTTCAGACTAACAACTTGTCCTTTCCCAAACTAAGGCTGGAGGCCAGAGAACCTTCACTGTGTTCTCTAATGGCTGACTTCCATCCTAGACCCTGGCCACCCACTTGTCCTTTCTTTGAGGACTTGACTGCAGCCCAAGAAAAGTTGGGGTCTGTTGTCACCATGAGTCACGTTTCCCTTGCCCCAGTGAGACCTACTCTCCCTCGGGTTCTGCCCTGCCTACTCCCCAGCTACCTTTCCTGACTCTGGAGGGCTGCCCTTCTAGGAAGCCATGAACTCCCCCAGGCAGATTCCTCCAGGTTGGCTTGTTCTCTGCCCGCATGATCCTCTGAGGCCCTCGGCTAGCTCAGTACCAGACCGGTGCCAGGCTCTTGGCCCAGACCTCTCCTGCAGTCCTCCCTCCACCCCACTTGTTTAGATCACTGCTGGAGAGGGCCAAGCAGCGGCATCTCAAGAGGGCAGAGGCCACAGCAGTCCTCCCATGCCATACACCCCTCCATCCCACAGAAGATCCCAACAACACCCACCATCCCCCAAGATGGGCCGTGCTTGTGAGTGGAGTAGCCCGGGGCCTGGAGGCCAGAGGCCCCTCTGCAGAGGCGATAGAGTGGCCAGCACTTGAATCGGCTTCCCGATTCAAGATCCCAAATCCAGTGCAATTTGGTCAATGTGGCTGGACAGCCATTTAGAAGGAGATCCAGGATTCAGGCCGGAGTGCCTACTGGGTATCACCCCCGACCCCAACCCAGACACTGGCACAGACTGAGGAAGAAGTGGGGGAGGTGAGAAATGGCAGTGTGGGCAGACAGGGAAAGGAAGGAGAGGCCAGGAAGGGAGCTGAGTGTGCAGAGAAAACCACAATAAGGAAAGGGAAGAGGGTGGGAGAGGAAGACAGGATAGACAGGCCCTTGGCCTTGGCTGAATCCTGGATCTGCCTTGTAAATGCCGCTCTCTGGCTGAGGATGGCCCAGGGGACCCAGGAACCATGTCATGATCCATGTCACATGAGCTGACAATCTCCAAAATGCTACCAAGAATCACGGATGCTAATGGGCGCGGCCTGGCATGCAGGTGGGGCGGCGGGTTACACCGTCCCGCGGCGCCGGGTACCTTTCAGACGCCTAACAAGGATGAGCTTCTAAAAGTAGACTTGGGACATAGAGAGGCCCACTGCAAGACCAAAGAGACAGAGTGAAGGCAGGTGAGGTGGCCATGGTGACCAGAGTGGGGCCTATCCAGCCCTTGGCCCTCGGAGACAGGCGTGAACGGACGGGTGATAGCATAGAACAGGACACCCACAGAGCCTCTGGGCCCATGGGTGCTGCAGGAGAGTCAGTGCTGGGTCCATTGAGACCCACACACTGTAGTTACCGACCCCTGAGGGCTGGCTATACCAGGTTATGCCCAAAGGGTGCATCAGGTTGAGAACTGGGACAGCGGGGCTCCACAGATTGAGAGCCCTTCCTGCTCTGGCCTGGAGCAGGAACACATGGGCTGGGGTTCTGGAGTAGTGGGAAAATGCAGGCAGATCCCTTCCAGGTGACCCTGGAAGTAGGTTGGGGGCGGGGCTCAGGACAAGGAAAGCCACAGGAAGGGGCTACAGTGTTCTGTCCCTGCTGAGGAGCCAAGCGGTCAGTGCTCCCAGATAGGCAGGGCCAGGAGCCACCAAGGAAGACTGGGACTAGCATTAGCAGCACACAGAGGGCAGGGAGGGAGATACCAGGGGGATCCCAGGACAGGGATGTTTGGTCCAGTTGACTGCCCGCAGCCCCCTTAGGATGTTGAGGTCAGCACTGGTGGGCTCCAGGGTCAGAGTCTCCCAACACCCCACATCATATGTTGAGGAGGAGGCCCAGGAAGGTGACTACCAGGCCCCAGTCCAGACGGGGTTACAGAGTGGGATGAGGGGCAGATACTCCCCTTTTCCAGCCTCAGATGGCCTGGGGGACAACACTCACCTTACCACTGATGTCACTAACAGCTACATGGACAAAGATAGAGGCCTCTTCCATCCCTTCCAGGTACACGTGCCGATAGCCTGGAGCAGCAGGGTCACCAGTTATCAGGGCTCTCACCCCTCCCTAGCCTGCCAAACCTTTCCTTAAAGGTCCCCAAGCCTTGAGAAGCACCAATGAGCCCAGTCCTGGGGAAACCCCTTCCCATAGGCCCAATACCTGCTCCACTTCTTGGGGCAGCCCTTGGGCATGGGTCCACCTGCAGGGACCTCTCTCTTGGGATGACCCACCCCACCCACATCTATGCAGCCAGCCTCATAGACTCCCTCCACTCCTTACCAGGCCCAGGCCCACTCACAGCATGAGGCTGAGCCCTCCCCTGTTCTGGAGCCCTTAGTCAGTTTGGGTGGGGAATTCTGGCCAGTGCTAAGTCTCCTTGATCCTGGCCTCCTCCCTACCTGGCATCATGCTGCTGAAAGCCAGTGTCCTCTGGCCAATGAAGTCACGCCCAATGGGGTCATGGTCCCAGACGAGGAAGCGAACAAGCGCGATCTCTGGCATGTGCACAGTGAATACTAATGTCTCCTCCCACATGGGGTTGAAGCCTAGAGATGGTAGGAAGAGGCCCAGCAGGCTAAGAGCTGGGGTCAAGGACTGGCACCTATGGGGCCCCAAAGTGGACAGGGCACCAAGCGGGTGGCCCCGGCCACTTCCTCTGGGGTCAGGCTCTCATATCCCACATGGGGCCTATGGCAGCCTCGAGCACAGGTTGGCATCTGGTGCCCTCACCCACTTTGGCAGGAGCCCTCACCATTGTCGTCCACCACTCGGGTCTGCTCCTTGCTGCAGTCCACAGGGAGCCCGATGACCTCCACCTCCACGAAGGGGTCGATGATCTGGGGACAGGGTGAGGGGTGGTACCGGGGACCCAGGCCCTCCCACCACCCACCTCGCCTATGTGGGCTCACCCCTACCTCCCCACGGTCACCCAGCATCGAGTCCCGTGGCTTGGGCAGCTGCTGGCCACTGATGATCCTCAAAGCCAGCTGCTTCTTTAACTGCCCGGGCAGAGGGTCCTCAGAGTTGGGGTTGAAGACGCCTGAGAGGACACAGGGGTAAGCCGAACACACAGCTTACAGCATACCCCCACCTACTGGTCTGTGGGGCTCTCACTGCAAACAGCCCCAAGAAACAGCCAAAAGCTTAGACCCGGAGTTGGAGGCCATGTCATAGTGATAGCAGGTGACTTGGCCACAGGACAGCTGGGGGCTTGCTCAGTGGGTCCAAGAGGGGATATGGTGAGGGAACAGTATGCGGGAAGAAGCCACAGGTCTGTACAGCACATTGGAAGAAGACTGTGGGGCAGAAGCAGGCTCCTGAGTGTGCCCAGCAGGGACTGAGCTCCAACATCTGGCCCTGAGTCCCACAGGACACACCAGGACCTCAGACAAATCCTGCCCCTCAATCTTATGCAGCCTAGAGCCCAGGGCCCAGCAGAAATGGAGTCCATGGAAGCACCCACTCCCACCTTCCAGGGTCCTAGTATCCCAGTCCCAGCCTGAGTCTGTCTTATGCAGCCCCCACTCCGTATCCAGCGTAGTCTCAGAGGACCCTACCCCAGCTCAAGCCCCTCACCCTGGCACATGCACAGGGGCTTGAGCACGTAGCCGCAGCTGCCGTTGGCACTGAACTTGGCTCTGTTCAGCTGCAGCATCCGCCCCTCTGACTGGTAATTCAGGGCAACTGAAGAAAAACAGGACACATGCAGGTCAGTGACTGTCCACACACTCCTGTGTGAGCTCTGGGGTTCAAAGCCTGGCACATGCTATCAGCGTAGGGGCAGGCAGGGTCTTTCCTTTGTCACCCTGGGGTCTGAAGGGTTCCACCCTGCTTGCCCAAGGCCTACAGGGATGGCCCTCCTCACCATCCCAGTTCTACCTCAGTACCCCTGCACCCACCCATCTGGCAGCCAGCATTCCAGAAAGGCTGTGGGTTGTAGTTGCTGGAGTCGACACGGTAGGAGGAGGGGTATATGCGTGAAAGCTGGTGCTGGTTAAAGCGCAGATACTGGGCAGGCTTCTGCTGAAGGATCTGGTGAGCCTTGGTCTCGCTGAAGGATGACACCTGCCAGCTGGATGCCACTGGGGCACAGACCAGCCAGGCGTGAGCTCACACAGCCTGCACCCCCCATAGCCCAACAGTCCGGGCCCCACCCGCCCCTCGGCCCTCACCCTCCGTCTCCACGTCGTGGGTGCCCACAGACTTGGTGTATTTCACCAGGTCCGAGAGGGCCCGTGACAGCTTCATGGTCTTCTTCTGCCGGGCTGTCCTGTGAGGGCGTGGTAAGGGCTACTCAGGACCCTGTGGTTACGCCCCTCCCATCCTGGGTCAGCCAGCTGTCTGGCTCTATGAGTTGGGTTCCATGGCCTGGACAGGTTCGTCTGCTCCCAGATCACATGTCCCAGGTAACCCAGGCCTCGTGGGCAATGCAGAGGTGGGGACAGGAGCCAACCCTGTTGGGGACAGACTCCCAGACCTCGATGGGACTATGGACATGGGCCTGCTGGATATGGGCTGCCATGAAGAGATCAGGAGGTCCTTGGTGCAAAGACCCTGGGTGCTTCTAAGCACCTGCAAGACAGGGGACTGAGGAGGCTTGCACAGCCAGGGGCTGCTCTGAGGAACACAGGACTTCTGGAGCACTCTGAGCCGGGGAGAAATTGGAATGACTCTCATGAAGACGCAGGGCAGTGACAATCAGCGTCTTAGTCAAGTGCGAGAGCAGAGCCAGGGCTGCCGACAGAGCAGAGGGGAGAGGCTGGGAGGGATGTTGACAGGGATGCAGACAGACAGGGACAAGACCTGGTAAGGAGAAGGGGAGGAGACAGACAGGAGGGAAAAATGGGGCCATGGGACACCATGGGGAAGATGGACGTGCAGGTATGAGACCCCAAGGAGCCCCCAGAGGTGCTGTGATAGACAATTACGCACAAGCAGGCTGGCACTATCCCAACATGGCCTGTTCTGGAAACATAGATGTCACTTTCATAGGGGCATAGGAGGCCCAGAGACAGACAGACACTACCCCCCTGTCGAGGACATAAGGTTAGAGGCCTTGAGAAGAGGGTACAGACACCAAGGCTGGATGAACCAGGCAGTGTCTGAGCCCAGGAGACCCTGAGGATGCCTCGGGACCAGCCCTTTGCCCTAGTGCCTGAACCCTGCTAGGCCATCCAGAGCCATGACCCTGGGTTGCACATGCCCTTCTGCTGTTGCCTGGAAAACAGCTCCACTTCAACTCGTGTTCAGAATGGAAATAGGGCATGGGACCTGGCACCTGCCCACCCTTAGTCCTGCCCAGCACTCAGGGAGAGCCCCCTGGGACTGGGTAGGGACACCCCTCCCCACATACACTGGGCAGGGCACTGACCCTCGGCTCTGGTTTCCTGGGGAGTCCAGGTCCTCATCCCCCTCTTCCACGCTGGCCACCTTCTTTATTTTGCTGCCTTTTTTCTGTGCAGGGAGGCAGAATTGTGACTTGGGGAGCCATGGGTCAGGCCAGGACATGCAAAGGCAGGAAAGTACAGGGTAGGGGTCTTTCTGCCCAGGTTCCTGGGTTCCCACCCAAGTCCACAGGAATCTCTGCCCTGATCCTGGAGTTCTCTCAGGCAGCCATGGGGTATTTGAATCTTGGACTTTGGCCAGTGTGAGTCAAGGGGGTAGTGGCTAGAGCCCCCTGGCCCTGGGCTCCTGACCCCAGCCACAGCCAGCAGCTAACAAGGGATGATGGTCACTCCAGATCCCCAACCCAGGACTCCTGCTGACCTTGCGCTTAGAGAAGCTGCTCAGGAGGAGACGGCTGTTCCGCCTGCTTGCCCCTGTGTCCTCCCAGGACTCCACATCCTCCTCGGCCTTGCTCTGACCCTGAGGGGTAGACAGAGGTTGAGCCCAGTCTCCAATCAGACAGGGAAGGCAGACTAGCTCCTTGGAGGCTCCAGGAAGCCTTCCCAGAGGAGGTGGACTAGACCAGGCCTGGGAGCAAGGCCACGATCTGGGGCCCGGGTAGGCAGAGCTGCTAGGGAGAAGTTCTGAGAGTCGGATTCAGAACAGCACCAGCATCCACTTACGTGCCCACACCAGTCTCCTGCAATGTATGGTTTTAAACTCAAGTAACGAGTTCCAGATTTCTTTACCATGGATGGAGACCGCGTATTAGGAGCAGCTGCATCTGTAATACTCTTCAGCTGGCCTGCTTACATCACCCTTTTTGAAGATCCCCACAACCCTGATGCCCCGCCTGCTATGCAGCATGAATTAGAGTCATAATCCCAGATATGGCAGGCAAAGGGAGTCTGGGAAGCACAGGGCAGGGCTACCAAGCCCCTGGGCACGGGGCAGGCCTACCAAGCCCCTAGGCACGGGGCAGGTCTACCAAGCCCCTGGGCACGGGGCAGGCCTACCAAGCCCCTGGGCACGGGGCAGGCCTACCAAGCCCCTGGGCACGGGGCAGGCCTACCAAGCCCCTGGGCACGGGGCTGGCCTACCAAGCCCCTGGGCACGGGGCAGGACTACCAAGCCCCTGGGCATGGGGTGGGCACACCCAGGCTCCTTGTCCCTCCCAGCCCTGGCCTAAGGGCCCCAGGCTCCTTCCTAGAAGCTTGTTCACACCAGGGCTGCGGAGAAGAGATTGTACCCACGCACTTGCCTTTCCCAGGCTACTGTGGCTATCACCACCTACTCCCCCCAACTCTTCAACAGAAGCCCACAAACTCAGGGCAGCACCACCCTGGGGTGACCCACACTGTTTTGTCCCCTACCCCAGGTAGGGGCTGGCTTCTGTCAGACACAGGGCAGTCATATGCCTGCAGCCAGGGATCATGACAGAGAGGGGCATCAAGAGGACAAATGTACTACATGCATGCATGCACTATGCATGAGAACTGTCTGCACACAGCTGTGTGAATCCCCAAACACCCACATGGTCATATCTTCATAAAACACGGATGCACTGCACACAGCCTGATACACTCACCAAAGGACACTCTTGAACATGGACATGGACAGTCCTGTACACAGCATGGACCCCTGCACACATCATGGACCCTGCATACACCATGGACTGCTGCATGTAGCATGAACCCTGCACACACCATGGACTCCTGGACACATCATGGACCCTGCACATACCATGAACCTGCACACACCATGATCCCTGAACACACCATGGACTCTTGCACACACCATGGACTCTGCACACACCATGAATCCTACACACATCATGGGCTCCTGCACACATCATGGACCCTGCACACACCATGAACCTGCACACATCATGGACCCTGCACACACCATGAACCTGCACACACCATGGACCTGAACACATCATGAACCCTGCACACACCATGGACTCCTGAACACACCATAGACCCTGCACACACCATGAACCTGCACACATCATGGACCCTGCATGCACTATGTACTGCAGCACACCATGGACCCTACACACACCATGGACTCCTGCACACATCATGGACCCTGAACACAGAGTGAATTCTGCACACACCATGGACCCTGCACACATCATGGACTCTGAACACACCATCAACCTGCACAAACCATGGACTCCTGCATACATCATGGACCCTGCATATACCATGAACCCCGCACACACCATGGATCCTGCACACACCATGGACCCTACACACATCATGGACCCTGCACACACCATGGACTCCTGCATACACCATGGACCCTGTACACATCATGGACCCTGCACACATCATGGACCCTGCACACACCATGGACTCCTGCATACACCATGGACCCTGTACACATCATGGACCCTGCACACATTATGGACCCTGCACACACCATGGACTCCTGCATACACCATGGACCCTGTACACATCATGGACCCTGCACACATTATGGACCCTGCACACACCATGGACTCCTGCATACACCATGGACCCTGTACACATCATGGACCCTGCACACATTATGGACCCTGCACACACCATGGACTCCTGCATACACCATGGACCCTGTACACATCATGGACCCTGCACACATTATGGACCCTGCACACACCATGGACTCCTGCATACACCATGGACCCTGTACACATCATGGACCCTGCACACATTATGGACCCTGCACACACCATGGACTCCTGCATACACCATGGACCCTGTACACATCATGGACCCTGCACACATTATGGACCCTGCACACACCATGGACTCCTGCATACACCATGGACCCTGTACACATCATGGACCCTGCACACATTATGGACCCTGCACACACCATGGACTCCTGCATACACCATGGACCCTGTACACATCATGGACCCTGCACACATTATGGACCCTGCACACACCATGGACTCCTGCATACACCATGGACCCTGTACACATCATGGACCCTGCACACATTATGGACCCTGCACACACCATGGACTCCTGCATACACCATGGACCCTGTACACATCATGGACCCTGCACACATTATGGACCCTGCACACACCATGGACTCCTGCATACACCATGGACCCTGTACACATCATGGACCCTGCACACATTATGGACCCTGCACACACCATGGACTCCTGCATACACCATGGACCCTGTACACATCATGGACCCTGCACACATTATGGACCCTGCACACACCATGGACTCCTGCATACACCATGGACCCTGTACACATCATGGACCCTGCACACATTATGGACCCTGCACACACCATGGACTCCTGCATACACCATGGACCCTGTACACATCATGGACCCTGCACACATTATGGACCCTGCACACACCATGGACTCCTGCATACACCATGGACCCTGTACACATCATGGACCCTGCACACATTATGGACCCTGCACACACCATGGACTCCTGCATACACCATGGACCCTGTACACATCATGGACCCTGCACACATTATGGACCCTGCACACACCATGGACTCCTGCATACACCATGGACCCTGTACACATCATGGACCCTGCACACATTATGGACCCTGCACACACCATGGACTCCTGCATACACCATGGACCCTGTACACATCATGGACCCTGCACACATTATGGACCCTGCACACACCATGGACTCCTGCATACACCATGGACCCTGTACACATCATGGACCCTGCACACATTATGGACCCTGCACACACCATGGACTCCTGCATACACCATGGACCCTGTACACATCATGGACCCTGCACACATTATGGACCCTGCACACACCATGGACTCCTGCATACACCATGGACCCTGTACACATCATGGACCCTGCACACATTATGGACCCTGCACACACCATGGACTCCTGCATACACCATGGACCCTGTACACATCATGGACCCTGCACACATTATGGACCCTGCACACACCATGGACACTGCACATACCATGAACCCTGAACACACCATGGACCCTGCACACCTCATGGACCCTGCACACACCATGAACCTGCACACACCATGGACCCTACACACATCATGGGCCCTGAACACATCATGGACCCTACACATACCATGGACCCTGCACACACCATGGACTCCTGCACACACCATGGACCCTGCACACATCATGGACCCTGCACACATCATAGACCCTGCACACCTCATGGACCCTGCACACACCATGGACACTGCACACACCATGGACACTGCACATACCATGAACCCTGAACACACCATGGACCCTACACACATCATGGACCCTGCACACATCATAGACCCTGCACACACCATGAACCTGCACACACCATGGACCCTACACACACCATGGACCCTGCACACACCATGGACCCTGCACACACCATGGACACTGCACACACCATGGACACTGCACATACCATGAACCCTGAACACACCATGGACCCTACACACATCATGGACCCTGCACACACCATGGACTCCTGCAAACACCATGCACTCCTGCACACATCATGGACTCCTGAAAACACCATGCACTCCTGCGCACACCATGGACCCTGCACACACCATGGACACTGCACACACCATGGACCCTGCACACACCATGGACTCCTGCAAACACCATGCACTCTTGCACACACCACGGACCCTACACACACCATGGACCCTGCACACACCATGGACCCTGCACACATCATGGACCCTGCACACACCATGAACCTGCACACACCATGGACACTGCACACACCATGGACACTGCACACATCATGAACCTGTACACACCATGGACTCCTGCACACACCATGGACCCTGCACACACCATGAACCCTGCACACATCATGAACCTGTACACACCATGGACTCCTGCACACACCAGGGACCCTGTACACACCATGAACACTTCTGCATACCCTTGCAAATGTACGTGGATGTGCCAGAGGTGCTACAAGAGCCTCCTCTAGTCCCTAACCACAGAGAACTCTCAGCTCTCAGCCACCCTCTCAGCAAAGCACTTCCTGTCCCCTGATCTCTTCCTATGCTACCCTGCCCTGGTACCACTTCATCAGACACGTGGGAAGCAAGCACATCCTCTCACTAGTCTGGTTGTTGTGATTATGGCTCAAAGCAATTGCCAGCTTCCTTGAACCCTGACTCGTCCACTCTCTTGGGGGGTCAGTAGCAGCTGTGGCCAGCCTTTCCTGATGCCCAGAGTGACCCTGTGGCCATGTCAGCCACACACTTCCAGTCCATAGGCTCCAGAGATAGCTCTTTTGTAGCCAATATAGCGGGGTTATCTGTGCCCTGCATGTCCTTTAGAGACAATGGCCTATCAGCAACCAGTGATGCTGGCCTGCTTTCCTCTTAATTCCTGGATATGTGCAGGGAGAGGCCCTGCACATGTACTGCATACCCTTGCACATGCAGCTTTACTTATGTACTGGGAACCCTGTGAAGCTGACATGTCTCAAAGTTCTTTAAGTATTATTTATTCCAACTGCTACCATCACCGAGCCTTGAAGGAAAAATCTGCACATAACTGAGAGCAGCGGGCATGTGCTCACCAGCCACAGTCCACATAGCAAGGCCAGGCTGTCAGTCTGGCAGCACCGTGCACAGGAAGCAGGCCCACCTGGCCACCCTCAGGGACTGCGAGCATCTTGTCATAGTGTGAGCTTGGGGCAAAGTAGCCCAGACAGCATCAGAGGGTCCCCTCCATAGACAAGACCAGCAGCTGAGTCACCATCACCAGCAGAGAACACCCTGAGCTGGGGCCACCCTGAGGGGCAGGGCTGGTGGCACCGGCCAGCACCCTCTGGAGTTATGCTCAGCATTTCTTGTGGGGTACCTTCTGTCCCCTAGGTATTTATTTGCTGCTCCTAAGGCCTCCTGCTCTCGCATAAAGACCCCTGAGCCTGGCCTTGTGTCCTCAGATTTACGCACAGAGGGGGTGATACCTAGTCCAGAGCACAGAAAGGCTGAAGTGCCTCATGGTAGGACTTTCTATCCCCATGACAACCCTACAGAGATACACCCCTTTCTTCCTTGATAACCCCCAAGAAGTTCCCTGGCAGACCGAGTTCCTACCCCATGATCCTCCTGTCTCTAACTTAGCCAGCTCCACTACATATACCCTTCCTGCTTATCCCTTACAGGCTGTCCTAGAGAGCTTGGAGATGCTGTCAGGATGGGGCTCCAAACTTCAACCTCCAACCTCAGCAAAGCCCCTCTTCCTCCTCCTCTCTGAGTACAGGTGCCCAATGGCTTTTCATGCATGAGGTTGCTGGGCCAGGCTGTGCTACTGTCCCCAAGTGCCCTTCTTGTTGGCCAAGAAAAGCAGAGAATAGAGCCAACCCCCACCTGGCTGAGCACAGTATTAGGTGGGCTACACCCTCTCGCCTAAATGTCTGGGAGCTAAAAATAGAGGGCTGTGGGCATGGGACCTATGTGAGCCACCTGGACAGAGCTGCCTGAGCCCTCCAGGGCTGTGGGTGGACACACAAACACCCATCTCTAAAAATACTGGTCCCAGTAGGGGAAGGTACAGCCTCAGCTGGGAGAAACCCCCTTCTGGCCATTCCCAAGGGCCTTGGAAACAGCACAAAGTGAGTCCAGTGCCACATGAAGGGTAGGGCAGGGCAAGGAAGACTGTCTGGGGACTGGGGGCCTCTCAGCCTTCTCACCCTGCAGATGCCCGGCCCAGCTGAGAGGCCGGCTGCCTGGCCCATCATTGCCACCACAGCCAGCTGCTACATGGCTCCTTCATTCCAGACACTTAGCTGATGCACCTGTCCTTCAAGCTTGGCTTGCTGCCCCCACCAGAGGCACACTGACTGCAAAGCCTGGTCAAGTCTGCCTGGCACCTGCTCCCACCCCCGCCTCATCACACCTGCCATGGTGGTCTCTGATGGCCAGTCTGTGTATCTCCCCGGGGACACAGCTCTGGGTTGATCTGGGTGAGGGGCAGTTCCCAGAACTGGCTGAGCTCTGAGACCCTGCCGTCCACCCCTCTGTCACTTCTGAGATCCTCACCAAGGTGGGCAATTTTCAAAGTCCCTTCCAAGAGAAGTAGCAAGTATCCAAGGGACTACCTGACCACTTGTAAAAATTGTGTTAATGTACTGCAGGTATGTACATATGTGAACACTGCATAGGTTTGCGTGTACATAAATGTGTATAGGAATGTAGTTGTGTGTGTTATGCATGCATGGGTGCACATGTATGCATGTGTACATGTGTGCATGCAGGTATGGGTAGGTATAAGTGCTGTTATAGGTGTGTATGGATATAGCTATACATCCATGTGTGTGTGAGTGTTGTACATGTGTATGTTTGGGTGTAGGTACAGGTATATGTGTGTGTACACAGATGTATGTGTATACACAAGTGTGTTATCCATATATGCATATACATACTTCTGTTCATCGGTACTTATATGTGCAGATATGTATGCCCACACATGCTCTGGGGCCCTCAGCTGGCCCACAGGTTGGCTGTTCGTGAAATATCTGTCAGCAACAGGGGTCTCACCTTCTTGGCCTCTGCTCTGTGCCCAAGTTTTCTGGATGGGGACAGCGTGGAGACAGTGAAGTCACTGGGGTCTTCACAATCACGGATCTTCGACTCCTTGATCAGAGAATCCAGTTTCTTCTTAGCAATGTTTTCCACACGCTTCCGATTGGTGGAGGCCTGCCAAAGCCAGAGGTCAGTCCACTGGCACCTGTCCCCAGCCCAGTGAGCAGCAGAGGGGAACAGTCTTCAAAGTCCCTGTACACAAACTGTGCACACAAGGCACAGAGGCTATGATTCGCCCCACCTGTAGGTAGCTACAGGTAGGCATATGCGATCCCTTCAATATAGTGCTGCCTGGCGAGCAGAGCACATAGCTGGCAGGTCCAAGCCCAGTGAGCCTCTGAAAGAGGTCAGGGCACTCCACCCCTACAGATAGCACAGGATCCGAGGCCCAAACGTTGGCCGCCATGCACCTCGATGGGAAAGCAAGAGCAGGGCAGATTTTAGGGGAGCCTGCAGTCCTGGCCAAGCACCCTTCTCTAAGGAAAGAGCCCCAGCGAGGCCCTGATGTACTTGGAGAGCTTGAGGAAGGACTTGGGTCTGGGGCACCAGGACTGTCCTGGGTACCTGGGTTGGTGTGGCCACTAAGGATGTCACAGTCATAAGCTCTGTCACCACCCCGGGTCATCCAGAGACCTGTGCGGGCACACCCAAAACAGGAGGAATCTGCTGCCTCAGGACTTTCTGAAACAATTAGCCAGCTCTGGCCCAGAGGCCTCAGGCACAATTATTTTCCCATTTAACAGCTCCTCAGAGAGAAATAGAGTCTTCATTGCCACACAGCAGCTTAAAGCTGCACCCAGAGGAGAGAAGACCCAGTTACAGAGCCCCACCTCCACACAGCTCCCCCCTCCCAGCAGAGCCCCTTGCAGATGGCTCAGGCTTCCTCCACAGCTCCCAGCCATGGACCAGGCCAGCCACAGTGAAGACGCAGAGTCCTCTGTGATAATGACCACTAGAGGGACCTGCCTACAGGAGGTCTTAGCATTGAAGTTGGCCTTGGAGTTGGCATTGGTACTGGGCCTGAGGGTAGCTGGGCAGGGCCACTGGCCACCCAGAGTCCTGCTTGGATTGGTCAGGAAGCCGAGGGATTCTGAGTAGGAGTATGGCAAGGACAGGTATGAGTGCAAGAGGGCCATGGTGTGGAACCCATGGTGAGGACAGATCTTCCCCCATTGCTGTCCAGACTCACCGAAGGGCTAAGAGGATTGGGCCAAGGTCAAAGACAAAACCCAAGACTCAGCTCAAGAATGGGAACCGAAATGGGACGATAGTAGATGTGGCCTGCTGGTTAGACATGGGGTTCGTGTATCTTGTGTGGAGGGCAGGGGAGGGAGAAGAGCATCATAGTGAATTCCTTAAAGGCCAGGCAGCTTTGCACACCATGCCAGCATTTACCTTATGTCCATCCCTTCTGGTTGCCACCCTTCCTAGGTTAACCTGACAGCCAGGACAAGAGGCTGCTCTTGGGGACCACAGGCTTCCCATCCCCAGGCCCTCAAGCAGAGCTCCTGGCCCACTCACATCCCCATTGAGGAGCTTGCAGTCATCATCAATCTCATCGGCACTGTCCTCATCAGACACCTCGCCTTCCTCTGCATCCTCGCTGATATTGGCCGGGAGCTTCTTCCCCTAGGGGAGGAGGCAGATAATGGGAGAGAAGCCCTGAAGGAAGTATGGGGGATCCAGTGACTGGTACCTACAAGGAGCAGCAGCAAGAGACGAGGGCCTTTCCCAAGCTCATTCTTGGAATCTCAGGCCATACTTGTGGCAACATAACACAGGGAAACACCTCGGTGACCTCTGGTGGTCCCAAACCATGTGGTTACTGTAGTAAAACTAAGGCCAAGTCAGGGGCATGGCTTGCTTGAAGCCCCCCTCTCCCATCTGTCTATAATGCTCCAATTTGGCCCAGGTCAGAGTCAGCGTGATGATGGTCCACAGAGCTCACCTTCACCAAGATCTTGCCCTTGAGCATCTGTGGAGAAGGTAGCATGGTGGTATCCTCACTGCTCACCGAGGACAGATCCAACTTGTCCCCGAGGATGTCAGTCAGATACTGAGCCATCTTCTTCTGCTGGACAACACTACAGTGGTTCTCAATGGACAGGATCACTGGGTATCTGAGAGGAGATGGGAGAGGCCAGGACCCCAGAGAATGACTAAGCCCCACACCTGTAGGTATACAGGCCATTTACATCACTGAATGATGAGGTGGCTGTGCCAAACTTGAGGTGAAAGATCTGCCATCTGCTTTAAGAGTGGCCCACCAATAAGTTTGGTTTTTGTTCTGTTTTGTTTTTGACAGGGTCTCCATTAGCCCCAGCCATCCTGGAACTCACTATGTAAACCAGGCTAGCCTTGATCTCACAGAGATCTGCTGCGTCTGCCTCCTGAGTGCTGGGTTTAAAGGCGTGTGCTACCACACCTGGTGTATCCACTAATAACTTTGGAAGACAAATGAGTAGATGAGAAAGAAGCTGAGAGACTTTAGGGACCAGTAAAGAGGGAAACAGACAATTACAAACTCCAGGAGAACAAAAGGAAATGTTTGAAAAGGTCATGGTTTAAGAATGTCGTGTATTAAATGAGATATGATTTTTCTGGCACCCAGCTCAGATGTGTTATGTAAGATGGATGGGGTTGTTCATTTGCTAAGAGAAGACATGAAGTTGTGGGTGGGGGGTAGGGGATGTGAGGGTGGAGATGGAGGAGGAGGTCTGAATATAATAAAAATTCATTGTATGGAATTCTTGAATCAATAAAATTTCTCTTAAACTTAAAAAATGTCGTATTAAATAAAGTAGAAAATTCATTGTATGAAATTCTTGAGTCAATAAAATTTCTCTTAAACTTAAAAATTGTCATGTATTAAATAAAGTAGAAAAATTAGACTTTGAGAAACATAATCTCTTTGACCTTGACTCTGAATGGCCCTGGGGTTCTGCACTGGCCCCATAAAGGAGACAAATGGCATCAGGCAGAACAGTTATACCTGCTCAGTGCGGCATGGGGAATGCGCCACGGGGCTTTTCAGTAGCAACTCTTCAGCTTTGTTTATTTTTAACCATGTGCACATTTTACTTAGATTTCTGCCAAAGGCAATCATGATCCTTTTAGAAAATGTAGTAAGAAGTGGGCAGCCATGTGATGTGGAGCGGGCCAACGGAGAGCAGGATGACATGATTTATCTCCCCATCTCTCAGGCAAGAGACAGAAGACTGAAGCCCAGGTCCTGGGGGACATTGCACCTGCAAAGGTGACACCCTCACATGGAAGTGGACTCCTGGCAGTTACAGGACACCTGTGCATCCCGGCTGCCCTGGCCCTGCAACACCCTCCCCACCTGCAATCCCAGGGGCGGCCTCACTGCCACCTGCAGCCGTTTGTCTCCTAAATCCATTTGGCTGCTTCGTCCCCCCATTCCATCAGCTCCTCCCTGTTCAGAGTCTCTTGTTCAGCCAAGGTAAGCAAGGAGGCTGCCTTCTATTTACAGAAACCAAATTAGATTTCTCTCAGTAGTATCTTCAACCACAGCTGAGTGACAGCAAATTGAGTCTGGATACAGTGGCTTCCTGGGGGTAATTAGTGCTAGAGCCACCATTTCCGTGGGCAGCTGAGACCAGAGATTGCCATTATGTGTATGTGGACAGACTACAGGCACATGATCATGCTGTGTCCACTCCTGTACATACCGCCAAAACTCCCCTTCCCTTCTCCTCAAAGAGAAACCTCTAAACAAAGCCTGACCACTGGAAACGACACGGGGAAGGGAAAAAGCCAGACCCTGGATGCCTTTCCCTTCTGCCTCCAGGCCAGTTCCCAGACCTGGCCACCCACTCATTCTTTTTTTATTATTAAATGTATTTAGCTTTATTTTATGTGTATGAGTGTTTGCCTGCATGTATGTAAGTGTACCCTTGTCATGCAATGCCAGAAGAGGGCAGAAGAAGGTATCAGATCCCCTGGAGCTGGAGTTACAGGCAGCTGTTAGCCACCATGGGTGCTAAGAACCAAACCTGGGTCTTCTGGAAGAGCAGCCAGTGCTCTTAACTCCTGAGCCAGTGCTCCAGACCAACTCATTCACTCCTTGTCTGTTGTTTGTTTTTCAGCAGGGTCTCCCTTGTCACCACAGCTGGTCTGGAGCTCACTACATAGACCAGGGCTGACCTCAATCTCACAGAGATCCACCTGCCTCCGACTCCCAAGTGCTGGGGCTAAAGGCACGCACAACTCACTCATTCTTGATGAAGGCGTATTTGTTGATGGTTTCAATGACGTCTTTGAAAAGGATCTTGGAGGTCAGAGTATAACCATGGTGCACAATGGGTTCTCCATCAGGCCCGTCCCAGCAGTCCACTGTGGACAAGCAGACCCTGGTTATCCCACATGAGCCTGGGCAGAATGAGCCCCTGGATTACAAAGGAGGGGGCTCTGTCCTTTCACTCACTGATGACTCCTCAAGCCTACCCTGCCTCCTACAGGAGGCACCATCCCACAGCCAAGGCTGGTCCCCTGGGAGTGGGGTTGGGTACAGTAGGGGTCGGGGAAGCCTAAGTCCGGGACTATTCACCCTCCACACAGCGGCAGCCAGCCTGTAGGACCCAGGCATACATGTCCACACGAGACTGGGACATGAGCTGGTCACCCACGAGGTAGGTGTTATGCGATGAGGTGATGAAGTAGTGACTCAGCGGCCGCGTCATGTCCTGGTGTACACCATGGTGCTCGGGGTTGAAGATGTCACCAGCCGGGCTCCTCGTGTAGTTGGTAAAGCCTGCAGCGTAGCACAGGGGTGTAGCACAAGGGAGCTCCGTCACTGGGCTCAGCTCCTGACCACCTTCCCCACACCCCACTTGTTCAGGCACACGGCAGCCCCAGTAGTGCCCCATCATCCCCCGAGGACAGCTGAACTGAGAGAGGCACCCACTCACCATCAATGCCCAGCACCCCCTTGCTCTTGTTTTCTGGGCAGGGCTCAAACTGCTCAATGATGTCTTGACAGCTCTCCAGTGTCACACCCTTCATCTAGGCCAGAGCAGAGGCGTGAGCCCAGGTTAGTCCATTCTCAGTATGGACTGCTCTCAGGCAACTCCCCACTTCCTCCCACCACCATCACCACCTCCTACCCTTGTCTCTGATCACCACATTGAGATTGACCATAGCAAGGGTGGAGCTTGAGGGCTGAAACCCTCTGTGCCACATTCCCTGGGACTCAGCAGCCAGGGGCCTACAAGTGGGTCCCGTGGCATTTGAGTTGATGTGTCTAACCAAGGACCCAGTGGGGAGGGGTCTCTGGCCTCATTAACTGGATCACCCTCCACTACCATAAGTGGCCTCAAAGTTATTTCTGGGGGTCCTAGCACGAAGCAGGGACCCATATATAGCAGTGTAGGAGCAGGGGACCCATCTTGAGAACCCCAGTGAACACAGGCAGCATCTCTTCCCTGACCTAGTCCCTGCTCAACAACTCACATGTGAAGGCCGAGCAGCACATCCACCCTAGGGCCATGTGTTAGAGGTTGAATGACCACCAAAGCCCTGCACTGTCAAGACCAGGGACTCCCAAGACTCTGGGGCAGGCCTACTGGAAGCTTCCAGTACCCAGGAACCTGATACGAGTTAATAAGTTGGAAAGAGTTGGCAAATTGTGTCAGAGCTCAATGTGATTTTGGGGAGCTCCAGAACCCAGACAGCAGGGCTCAAGCTCCTGACTAGAGGAAACTATTTGGGCTCCAGACTACAGGGAGATATTTCAGAAAGCTGAGGGCAAAGGTCATGGACAGAAGGACCAGTTCTGCCCTTCCTCTGCCCTACCCTTGGCTTCCATGTACCAATACCAGAACACAGAGCTTGCTATCCCACATCCCACAACCTCATAGCGACACTGCCCATGGTAGCCCAACTGGGGAGGAGGCCACCCCAGGATGGTGGGATCTAGCCCCATGGATACTGGCCTGTCCTGCCTGGCAAGGCCTCCAGGGTGCCATGCCACCAGGATGGTAAGGGGGAAATGTGGCTGCCAAAGGGTGGGCCCCAGCAAGGACATCGGGGTGGGTAAGTGTGCAGGGTGGGGTCGTCTGCTGTGATGGTCAGCGTTAACTGACAACTTCACAGACTCTAGTTACCTGGGAAGGGAGTCTCAGTGAGGACTGTCTAGATCATGCTGGCCTGTGGGGGATTGTGTTATGTTAATTGATGTGGGAAGAACTATCTTAATAGAGATGGGACCACTCCCTGGGTATCAGGTACTGGACTGTATAAGATGGAGAAAGACAGAATTGATTTCTGCTCTTGACTGGATGCAGTGTGACCAGCTCCCTCAAGCCCCTGCCACGGTGACTTTCCTGCCGCAATGGACTGAGACTTGTGAGCCAAATTAACCCTTTCTCCCTTAATGCTTTTGTCAGGGCGTTTTACCACAGCAACAGAAAACAGGACACCTGGGTGTGGGGCAGCCTCATGAGGTGAGGCAGGACCTAGCAGTAACCCTGTAGGCCACGGTGCGGTTCCTGGGCAGAGCCAGGAGCCAAGCTTCAGATCCCAAGGCCACTCCTGCTGTTCAGTTGCCCAGTCTCCTCCCTACCGTGCACATGGCTGATTGCTGTGAGGGAAACTCCAGGCACGAACTAGGCAAAAGTTAGGGCCCCTGAGGAGGCCTAGCCACAGTGCCTGGGCCCCAAGGTCTACCCTGTCCCTGTCCTCCTCCCAGAAAAAGATCCAGGAAGATCCCTGGCAGATAGATCCAAGAGGCAGTCCACATGGTACACCTGGGTGCAGCTCCCCTACTTTCCATGGGAGTAATGTCTCCACAGGGCTTGTCTCCGTTCTCCCTGCTACCAGAGTAGGAAGTACATCATTCCTGCCTAGGCTTGTTTTAATATGAGGGGAGGTGATCCCTGAGGCTGTAGACAAAAAGTAATCCAATCAGCAGGGATGTGTCCTGGAGCGCTTGGCTTTGATGTGACCCCAAGACTTCCAGAAATCAAGGTAAACACATAGCACTGCGCGCATCTAAGTGTGTTTGCTGGACAGATGGGTGATTGCAGGAGGCCGTAGCTGGGCCCAGCCAGGGCATGTAGCCAGACTTACAGAGGGATGGTTCTCAAAGGCCAGAGCACGGAACCCCAGTCCACGAGATGTTCAGCATCAAGTTGGTGCCAAGGCCAGGGATGACCCTCTCAAGGCTAGTGGGGTGAGGGGGGAAGGCAGCATAGCCAGGGCAGAGCTATATGACACCCCCTCTCCCTCTGAAGAGAAGCCACAGGCCTCCTCAGCTACCTTGAAGTGCACGTCTGAAAAGCGCAACCTGAAGCCCATTTCAAGGACCCAGCCTTCCTCTGCTATGAGGGTCTGAACACATGTTGGCAGGAGCTGAGGCCAGGGCCACACCCACCACCACACAGCTTCTGGCAGGCCTCACCTTCTGTTCCATCTCCAGAAAGCGTTGCAGATCAGAGGCATCCAAGTGGTCCTTATGGTTGCTGTAGGTCAGCATGAGCAGGTAGAGGTCTCGGCGCGTGGACATCATCTTGTAGAAGGCGCAGAACTCCTCAAAGCCCAGTGTTCCCTGATGGTCATCTGTGTCTGCCTCCTGCAACACCCCGTCTCGGGTCATTTCTCACACTGCACCCTCCTACTTCTGGGTTGCACGCTCAGCCTCGCTTCCTCTGCCAATGCCCACGCCCCACCTCTGATGGCTCCCGTGAGCAAATAAGCTCACTGGGTTCCCCTTCTCTCTTCCCACCAGAAAAGCACTGTGACCTTGGAAAGCACATAAGGGAGCCAGCTTCCCCCTATACCATGCCTTGCAAGGCCAACCTGTAACCAAACTCCATGATCACCCACACTCTGGAGTCACCAACACCCTGCCCTGCGAGCCGATGCCGTGAACTGGAGTTCCCTCCACTCTGGGCTCTATGCCCACACTGTAGCGACAATTGGCCTTCCCTTCTGACAGGAAACACTCAGGGCCCTGGGGGCCCAGCAGTATCCTGGCTCAGGTGTCTATGGCAGAGGGAAGTATTTCCAGCCACTGGCTTCCTTTTTCAGAGAAAGGGGCTTACAAGATAACCCCAGGAACCCTCAACATCACCCCTAGACCATCCCACAGGATACCCAAGGAAGCTATGTCCTCTTCTCTGTTTTTACAGGCATAGGGAGCATCTGATGAGGAGCCAACCCCGGGGGATGGTGAAGGCTGACCACTCTCTGAGATGAGTTCCTCCTTCAGAGTGACAGTGCCCAGCACAAGAAGCCTCCTAATATCCACTGTGCTGGGCAGAACAGCCAGGAGTCTACAGGTATCTGACTGCTCAGCCCAAGTGGAGCCCGACTCTGATCAGTGAAGAAAATGCAATCCATCAATAGCACCTATCACCAAGCCCTCTGTGGAGCCGGGCTCCAGCCAGCCCAAGGGTGTGCCCTTGGGCCATTAAGCCCAAGGACCAGTGTTTTGGCCAGCCCCACACTCTAATGTTATCTTAGATTTATTATGTCAAAGCCACTGTATCTGCCACATGGATCTCTGCTCTGACTAGACAGCTCCCAGCAGCTGGAACCAACATGGAGATTTCACTACAGCCTAATGCTGATCATCAGAGCGATTTGAGCCTAGCAGAAGGCTGTGTTTCCTTCCTGGGGCTCTAAGTGCCTGTGGAGGCTACTGTGAAGTACTTGGCCTGGAAAGGACAGGCTCAGGGCTGAAGCCCTCTCCAGCTGGCTGACCACCACAGATAAGGGCCACTGGGTCTGAGCTGTGTGAGCCTAGCTTGCAAATACCGTGGCTCCAGGACAATAGCCTCACACCTTGCTCCTCTCCAGACCCAGCCCTGGAGCTCCATCCCACCTATACAACCTCCCTGCTAGCCTCCACTCAGGGTCTCTCCTCTCTGCCCAGTGCTGCCTACAGGTGATCTGGTGGAGCCAGGCTGGGACCATCTAGAGGAACCCCAGGAGCTAAAGAAGTATCCAGGGGCCCACACATCTCACAACAGGCTGGAAAGCATGGACTGTGCTAGCACACAGAGCACCTCCAAGCCTCACCCTGGAGCTTAGACCTCGGCTTACACTGCGCTTGCCCACACCCAGTCCAACAAAGGTGTTCCTCCTCTGGCCTCCCAGGCATCTCTGGGTGCCGAAACCTGTTCCACCTAATGCCTGACCCTTAGGTCTTACCCCAAGGAAGACCTATTGAGCCCAGAGCTGCTTTCCTCGCCCCCAGAGAGGCAAAGGGCATAGGGGTGTCCTGGCACAGGCAGCCGGGAAAGGGAAGAGCTTACATCAGATGCAAGCCATGGCTAGCCCTTGCCGCTCAGCAGAGTGACCCCACTGGAGCCTTCAGGAGGGCAACAAATACCCACGTGGTCCTTGGTGGACGGTCTGAGAACGTCTTGCTCACTGCCCATCACTCACACAGAGACCCATTGCTCCAGCCGAGCATAACTGCCTGTCTAGCATGAGTTGACATGTAGGAACCTCTAAGGGCCAGATACAGCTGTCAGGTCAAGAGCCTGTGTGAGTGCATGAGTGTGCACGTACGTGTGTGTGTGCATGTGTGTGTGTCGTGTGCATAAGTGTGTGTATGCACACCCATACATGTATGTGTTAAGGGCAGGACTGGCATCCACACTCACAGAAACCCCTTTCCAGGCTGCAGCAAGGTAATAAGGCCCAAGGGCCAGGCTTGCTGGCTCAGCCCATTCCTGTTCCAAACCAGGACCTGCTGACAGTTGAGTTTCTTCTCCTTAGGGGTTCCCGAAAGACAGAACTAATTACAGACAATAAAGGCCATGCTCAGCTGAAGGATGCATTTTCATAACTACTAACATCAGGGTGGCTGGGGGTCAAGGCAGTGTGGATGGGTAATAAGAGCTATCACCCGCCAGTCAGGCTCCTGCCTGGTCCATGCACCTCTTTAAGGCTGGGGATCATGAGGGACCCACAAATGGGGTGTGGCTGCATTTGGGTTCCTGGGCTACCTAGGCAGGACCTATTAGCCCAGCGCTCAGTTCCCTGCCCCACAGTCAGCAAAGCAGCCCCGGGCACAGCAGTCAAGAGGTGGCACCCTGAGGTCCCTGGCCTTCCTTGTGAAGCATCCGTGGCCCTGCCGGGACTTCCTCCAGCTTGGGCCTGGCTGGTCAATCTCAGCCCCTCATCTGTAGCTTGAAGTCATCCTGGAAGGTGTCCCCGCCAGGGACCCAAGCTGGTATACTCGGAACTCACCCTGAACATCTGTTTCACCCGCTGCCGGGGCAGATTCACGTTGAGTTTGTGCAGCAGCTGCAGGACCTCGCTGATGCTCAGGCTGCCATCCCCATTCTTGTCGGCCTCATCAAACGTCTGCTTCAGCCACTTTGGGGCTGAGTTAGGGGCCAACACAGTCCACAGGCCTGGCCTCGCCTGCTCCTCCCTCCAGCCTAGGCAGCAAGGAGCAAGAGTGCCCAGCCATGTGACCCTGCTTATTCCCTCCTCAGGGACTTCCCATCCAAGTGGACAGAAAGGGGACCTGCTCCTGGGTCTGTCCCCACTTCCAGTACCCAAGGATATTGGTCCCTAGTACGCTGGCGGCGGGCTAGGCTGTCCTCATCGCTGATGCCAGCCATGAGGTAGCGAAGGCCAGTGACCCAGGTTCGAGCCTCTTCGCTGCTGGGTGAGACCAGGTCCAGTGACTCACGGTGGCTGCCATGGTAGATGCTGAAGCAGCAATTGGGGTCGAAGCTGCTGTCAGGGTAGCGCTGGAAGATCTCAGACTGCCGTCCCTCGCTCACCTCCTGAATGGAGTCGATGGAGACTGCAGGCAGGTGGAAGGGTATCTGGGTCACCAGTGTCCCCCTACCTTCCAGCCCCAGATCACTAAGGACTAAGAAACAAGCTAATTTATAGCTATTCTTCCAACAGACCCCCAAAGTGAATCCTCCTCACTGAGTGCACCCGCAGAGAGGCCTCTATGTCCTTCAGAGGCAAAAGTGCATGTCTGCTTGACTGACCCTCTCCCCTGCTCTGCTGACCACAGTCCCCTCCCTTTCCCCTTGGTGTGAAAAGACACACACACCACACACACACCACGTACGCACACACGCACGCACACCAGACAGGGGAAGGGACTACCTGCCCCTGGTTGGCAATGCAGGCACCTGACTATCTCAGGACAGAGTTTATTGGAGGTGCACAATGGGATTCTAGGACCGACCCACTTCTGTCAAGCTCTGGCTAGCTCATCGTTCCATTCTGAAAGGTACTTACTGGTCAGGCATGACCAGATCCTGCAGTTGCCTCAATAACAATGCCAGGCACACTGCAGGTGAGAAGCTGAATGAAGCTTACAGCTGCAGCACACACATGTACTGTTTGCAGGTATCAGTAGGCCCTACTTAGGCTCCATCGGGGACCTAATGCTGGCTCAGCATCCCAGCTCCAAAGAGCCCCCACTCAGCTCAATCTCCAGCAGAGAAGCTCAGTGGTGCTTTAGGGATCTGTTCCATGCTCAGGCAGTACCCCATCACAGATGTGCAGGCCACAGGTGCTGGTATCCTCTCCGGGAAGCAGACATGCCACACTCTGCCTCTGTCCTTTCTCAAGTTCCCTGGTGTGAGTGTGGCAGTTGGGGAGATGGACCCCAGCTTAGGCCAGGGACCAGCATTCCACCTCTGCACTGGGACCTAAGCACCCACTGGGCCTCCAGAAGCTGGGGAGATGGAAACCCCGGCATTCCCCAGTCCTTCCTTGCAGTTACTTCCCTGCTTCTCAGTGTGAGACTCTGATGCCTTTTCTTGACTCTAGGTTTCCGACTCATCCTCTGTGTACCCTCTGTCTGTCCCCTCCACTAAAGTTGTATAACTCAGGCGGCCCCTATGAACACACACCACATAGTCCCACCTAAGCGCCCAAGCAAGCCTTGGGCTCCCAGCCCCACCTTCAGTGTGCCTTGCTGGGCTTCTTTGGTTTCAAGACAGTCTCATCCCCCTTGCTAGACAGATGGCCTTTTCCCCTCCACTGACCCCAGAATTTTGCATAGAGCCAAGCTCTGGGCCACTCAGTTCCCATGGAGTTCCCAGAGCCTTGCCAGGTGGGTGGCTGGGCAAGGGCCACCTGACCTGTCCCCACTCTTCAGTCCAGAGTCCACTGCAGAAGCCCAAGGCCACCTGAACCTAGAAATGCCAACCATGGAGAGAACCTTAACAGGGTTTTAGCCCGACAGCAGTGGCTGCTCAAGAGGCCATCCTGCTCTGTGATGAACACGCTCACCCATCCCCCTCCCAGGGCTGTCCACTCACTCTTGGCCTTCTCGTTCTTGCGGGAAGGCCGCCAGCGGAGGCAGGAGCGGTACTCGTCCAGGTAGTAAAAGCGGACCAGGCCCTTGGAGCTGCCACGGAGCTTCACCATCTGGGTCCCTTCCTGCATGGTACTCATACATCGCTCCACTGGACACAGACAGACAACGGAAACGGACAGACAGGGGCTGTGAGTACTGTGATAATTTCACCTTTCCCCAAAGCATCCTGTGTGCCCAGCAGGCCACCCACCTACCCACCCAGAGCCCTAGGGAAGAATGGTTACCTCTCCTCTCCCGATGACCCTGGGCCACTGAGGTAAGCTGAGATTCCAGAGAGGACATTGAGCAATGGCCACCTGGACCAGACCCAGCAACCACCAGGATCCTAAGTAGCTTTCACTCAAACTGGCAAGCATTGAATGTTCACAGCTAGGCACAGAGGCCAGACTAGATCCCAGAGCCATGCAAGGAGCTTCCAGGCTGCCTGCATCCCACACTAAACCTGGTTTCTAGGCCCACCCTTGGGTACTTCTGAGAGCCCAGGGCCTCTTCTTGGAGCATCACTAGGAATGTCACCTACCCCACAGGGAGCAAGGTCAGAAAGAGACCCTATAGAAGGGCACAGAACTGGGAGGCTGAGGTGCTGGGTTTAAGTTCACAACCTACCGTGAGCCACCTGCCTCCTCTGCCTGCTTGGCCTCCTGCCCCAGGTCCCAACGGAAGGGGGTTACAGATTCCAGAGCATCTAGGCCAGGGTCAGTCCTCCTTTCCCAGGTCTTGCACACCCACTTACAAGAAGCCTGGTAGCCAGAGGGCACTAAACTTCATGAGGGACAACAAGGGAGTGGGGAGACCCCAGTGAGCAATGCAAAGAACCATGGGTAATGCCAGCCCGGGGGGCCTTCTTTGAGAAAATCCTATTGTCCATGATCAGAAGGAGTACGAAAAGAGGCTGCGTTCTCTTGAGGACAAAGCCATGAGGAAGCAGGTATGGCTGCTATGTGCAGTCCAGGTGAGGGCAGGAGACAGAGACAGGCCCCTGAGGCCCCGGATGAGGTTCTAGAAGGAGACAACTGAGTGTCTACCCTCTTCCAGCTGGAGCAGGAAACAGTGAGGCAGCGAGCCCTGACCAGGGCCTCTGTGGGCCTTCCCAGACATGCCACGCCCTCCCACCAGCTACCCAGCAGCCCTTGTCCTCCATTCAGTGCCTCACAGTCCAGGGGCTTCCTTTCCCCTCTACAGGCCATGGTGTCCACACTGGCAAGTCTCAATACTTAGGCTGAAGGTGCCATTGCGCCACAAAATGCCAAACACCCCCTCAATATGAACTCTGGAGCCACCAGAGCCTCCCCAGCTCCAGGACCCTGGCCCTGCCCCGCCCCCTCCCCACCTGGAATTCAGCCTCCATGCCCTGATGAGGAGGGAAAGGAGGGAAAGGGAGGAGAGCAGGAGAAAGGGTTCCTCTGCCTGGCTGGCAGGATGGAGGCAATGCTTCTGGGTTGTGGGGACCCAAGGGAGTGGGAGGCTGATATAGAGGAGGATGGAGCCCAGGGCTTTTGCAACCCCAGGAACACCCTGTGTGGCCCAAGGGCTTGGCCAGTCCTCAGGAGCGGCCCACTCTCTGACCCTTCTTACCTAGTAGGCTGAGCTGCCACCGTGGTGACACCACCATACTCCCTCCAACCCAGAGGATCACCTCTGCTAGGTAAGCCACAGCTCCTGTGGTCTGGCTGGCTGCAGACGGTTGGGGGTCAGGCATGCCCAAATGATGGCCAGAGTCTGGCTCCCCAAAGCCAGAAAGAGCCCTCAGCGGCAGGTCAGAAAGAGACGGTGGTTGATGCAAGGCCTCCTTGGGGATCCCTTTCTCTCTTCTGCCTCCTCTTCCTCCTTGGGGCTCATTGAAAGCCCCCGAAGGCTGTCCCCTGACCCCATTGGCATTGACCCAACTGCTACCTGCAGCCCTGGATGGTCCCCAGACCAGCCCACCCATCCTCTACAACCCTCAGGTCTGTTAGAAGAAGATGCATCTCAGGGTGGGGGAGCTGCCAAGCCTCATCCTGCCCACCCTTGGCCAATCCCCTCAGTAATCCTGCTGGATCCAGCCCAGCTTGCTAGAGGATTTAGGCCAGGGGAGTGCCCAGCTGCCAGTACAGAGCAGGTTGCCCCATGTCCAGACCGCCAAACTCATGTTTAAGGCTGAGGCCAGATAACAAGTTAGACAGGGGGCTATCCCAGAACACAGAACTGCTCCTACAAGACCTGGGGTGATGGTCTCCATGTGTTCTGCCCATCTATCCATGGGTTTGCTCCCACCTCCTGCCCATACCAGCCCAGGGCTGTTATCTCTGCTTCTATCTCAAGCTCTCACTTATACATATTGACCTTCAAGTAGACAGTGAGCTAGCCCACAGGTAGGACAAAGGGAACAACGTGCTGTCCCAAAGCCCAGGGCCCAGAACTCAGCCCTCTGGCTGGGGGCCAGAGTTGAGCCAGGGCAGGGCCACCTGCCTAGATCCTTGTGGTCCAAAGAAGCTGGACCCAGAGCATAGGGGGCACCTTTCCACTGCACAGGAAGGAGGATGTAGGACTCCTGAACCTTCTGCAACTCCCCTATGCAACTGACACCCCAAGGCCAAGGCCCCCGCCCCCAGGATGACCTTCCTCCACTAAGGTGAGAGCCATGGAGGTGGCCCAGCACCCAGAGCATGTTCATCACTGCATGCTGCACCCCAGGCTGGGTACACCTGGGCAGCCTGATCCCTCATAACAGTCTCCTGACAGGGAAGAGGACCCAGGATCCAGGGAAGATCTTCCCACCTGCCAGGGACTTGACTATGGAACCAAGTAGAGGTCACCACTCCACACCAACCACAGGCAACCCTGGGGTAGCAGAGTACCTAAGACACATTGGCAGTGTTGGTTCAGTGCTGTATTCCATACTCTGGGCAACCAGGGGGTGGGATATAGTGAGAACAGAAGTGGGGGTGGGCTTCACTGTCTTGGGGTCATGGGCATCTTACCTGCCAACCCCCACCAGGCTCCTGTTACTGGCAAGGGGCAGCATCGCTTGGGAATCAAATGACCACATCCTATACCCACAGTACCCCCACAAGAAGTACCCTGGGTCCTCTTGCCAGCCCACCTTGTTAACCCCAGCCTGCTTGTCTCTATGTCCTGGGCAACAGGCAGCTCAGCCACAGGGAACCAGGACCCACTGAGCCAGATCTGATGTAATCAACTCACAGCCAAACCCAGGACCCAATTAGGAGCTTGGCCCGAAGCTTTGCCTCATCTGCTGGCTGGAGGTCGACAGGCCCTTTCTGCTGCAAATTGGATTAGGGAACCATTTGCTGCTAGGGCAGGAAGGAGCAAAAGTCCTATCAGTCCCCAGGGAGACAGGTCACAGGAGATGCTGACGGTGTGGTCACCTGTATAGGCAGCTCCCAGAATCCCCAGGGAGCTGTGAAGCCGAAGCTGGGGAAGAAGAGGTCCAAGTATCTAGAGGGCTGCAGGAGCCTAAGGCTGGCCAAGATGGGGCACATACTCTGAGTGCTCCAGGGCCACGTGATCCTCTGCCTTGAGCATAGGTGACTACCACCCTTCTCCTTGCCTGCTGCCCACAGTCCATCAGATATCTCTGCCCTCCAATGACTGGGTCACTTCACTCAGAGCTCACAGACTCACTGCATGGCAGAACGCCCAGTTTTCCTCTTTTCTCTAGGTACCCTGCACATGCCTGTGCTTCCCTTGCCTGGGCCCAGCTCCCCAAAGCTCCTCAGGGATGGCCGCCTCTGCCCTCTGCCCTTCTCAGGCCAGGCTTTCAGCTCTCAGCCACCCTGTTAGCCTCCCACCGTCAGCCAGAGGAGGGGGCAGGCTGCACAGGCTGGAGCTCCAAGAAGGGCACATATCCAGTGATGGAGCTGACGCCAGCCCCCCAGTGGAGGACCTGAGCCACTGCACCCCTGACCCCCTGACCCCCTGACCCTCCTCAGTGGCCCAGGCCATAATCCTCCCCTGACCAGGCAGGCAGAAGCCCAGCTAATCCATCCTTATACAGGGCTCTGCCAGTAAGGACTCTTCACTGCCAGGGGCCCAAGATGACCCTTACCATCTCTGATGCTGAAAAAACAAGTAGACATGGCTCTGCAGCCACTTGGTGAACCAGCGTCTAAGCTGAGACACTGCCGGGGAGGAGCCACCATAGGCAGCTGTACCCATAGTGCACTGGGCCAGGGTCAGGCAGAGTCAGAGGCCACAGCCAGGTAACTGGCCACATAGGATTCAATCCTACTGACAGTTGGCCTGAATTTGACCATGTAGCCACCCAAATCAGGTGGGAAGCTCAGACATTCATCCTCAGTCCTCACACAGAGAGAAGGGCAGCCATTCCTGGACGGGTTAAGTACAATGGGGAGGTGGTATACTCCACCCTTTCCAATGCCACCAGGACCCCACATCTACACAGGGTCCTCCAGCAACCCCTCGTCATACTTGAGACCCAGGTCCAGGGATGGGGAAAAACTCCCACCCTAGGTGCTGCCTGAGGGCAGACCTGGCCCGCCCTAGAGGCCAGAGGTCATCAGTTCCTCATGGCAAGGGCACACAGGAACTCTGGAACCCCAGAGTGTCTTCCACAGCTGGCCTGGTCTCAGTCACTCCCATACTCCCTCCATGTCCAGGCCCTGGAGCTCTCTTTGTTTCCCCAGAAACTGACGACCCATGGGAGGCCGAGGATGCGTACTGAGCTCTGCAGCTTCTCAGAAAGCCATGGGCATCTACCATGGTCCACACCCTGGTGGCCCAGGCAGGAGCTGGATGTGACCCCCCAGGCCAAGTGCCCTGTATCAGCCCTACAGAGTCTCCTGTGTGAGAAGAGAAGGTACAAGTGGCAGCCCATCTGGGGAGGCATAGCTGCCCCCAACCACCCAGCTCCCAGGACACGTAGGCAGGACGTCAGCTCTCCATCCTCTGCTCTATCTTTACCTACCCCATACTGACCCACACAACTCCTTCATGAAATGCTGTTTGACCCTAAAGGCCTGTTTCCTGTTCTGTCCCAGCATTACCCAGCAACTAGCAAGTAATGGAAAAAGCTGGGTGAGAGGGACCGAGAACAGTCAAGGCCACATAACCTGCTCTGGTGTGGGC